TTATTAAAATTCAAAATTATAAAAATGATAATAAATTATATAAGTAAAAAAAGTTAAGATGCTAAGTACGTGAAATTTGTTTTTATGAAACTATAAAAAGTAAATTTGATTAGTACTTTAATTAAAAATAAGTTTAACAATTGTTAATTTAAATATATATATATATTAATCGTATATTTGAAAAATAGTTCGATTTATATATTATATTAGTAAAAAATATTACATATTTTAACATATACAATACAAGCGGATCTCGGATGATAAACATAACTTCACTAATAATTTTAATAGATTTTGTATCTAAAATTACATGATAATTTTTTTAATAATAATTTCATTCCAGGGCCTCGGATATCACCGAGTTTGATATTGATATATCAACAATTTTATAACAAGAAAACAAAACGAAAATCGTATTCGACATTCATATTTAGTTATTTACCCATATTACTTAATGGGCTTAAAAGCCCATATGGCGAAAGAAAAACCATTGGCATATGATAGATTCGTAAGGTAAGGGATGATTGATTCTTGGTGACTTGGTCAATATAGTATTTTCCGATGTTTTTGAAGAAACGTATGGACATTGGACAGAAGAATAATGTAACTACTATTTCAGGATGTCAAACCAAAAAAAGAATTAAGTTTACTGAATTTACCCTATTTACTTTTAATATATCACTAGACTTGAGTGAAAAAGAAAATCATTACGTTGTTGCAAACTACTGAACCTATTGTTAGAATTATAACTCAAATAAGTAACAGTGAAAAGTGATTGGTCAAAGCAAATACTTTGGGTCCTAGCTCTCTCACTATTAAATTACTAGAAAGAGAGACGCTGATGTGGCGACGCAGGCTTTTCAGTGTCCTGTCTTAAAGGACGAAGTGGACATTTGTTTTTTCGTTTATTTTTTATTTTTATTTTGGTTGGCTAGAAGAATCAACATACCATGTTGTCTTCTCTACCCACATTAAAATCCATTATTGAGGGTTGTGAAAACCAATTTACCATTCTTCGTTTCTCTTTTCACTGTGGTTTTCACTTTCTTGGGTCAACTTTTGTTCTTAAATTTCAAGAGCGTCAAGTCCAACGTTATTCTTTTTTACTGTCACCAATCTCACCACAAAACGTATTTTCTTTTTTAGTACCATCAAAGTGATCCAAATCGTGGAACCGTCCAAGAAATCTAAGAAATGAGCAATTTTTTTTACGAATAAATAAATTACCCGAATAAATCGGACACAACTAAGATTTGAGTTATGCGTCCGTCTAGCGGCTAAAAGTTGAAGCTAGGAAACATATGTTTTCCTCATGCTCTCCATTTTTAATAAGACAATGTCTTGTAGAGCTATAACACTTATATACAAATATATTATGCGATCACTTGAACTCTTATTTAAAACTAGCACAATTAGTTATTTAGGTATAATATATATATATATATATATATATATATATATGAAAGTACTGTATATTGGTTAGTCTAAAGTTAACTATATAGTAGTTACACTTAATCGGAGTTACTCAATTATGAGAGACATTTCAAATTGACACAGACTAATTTCTAGTTTACCCAAAATTTCATTTACATATCTCACACACGTAAATCAATGGAACTCACACATTCGTCTTTTGCATAAAGATGAATAAGCTTCAAAACCTAATTCTTAATCTATTTATACGGTTCTGAATGTGCTAAGTGGCTCCCCCTTAATTAACCCTTGTCCATTTCTAGCCACGATTTCTAATCTATACCTAATATCTTTACACAAACTTGAATACACTCAAATCTCTTTCAAATTTATCTTTTTTTCGTCGAGCGTTGAGAATAATAACTCTGAATCTTCCTTTCATAGTCGTCTGATTCACTCAGTTCCTAGTATACAAAATTTGACATCTTTAATTATTATCTTGTTATCAACACTATTCGTCATTATTCAGTGCGCTTGTTTACAATTACATGTTCCGTCTATAATCTATTACGTATCACGGAATACGTTGTACCATTTAAAACCAAATTTCATATACCATTTTAAAACACATATAATTCATATTTATGTTCAAGGGAAAATCTTAAATATTTATTTCTAATATTAGAAATCGTACCATACATCTACTGTATAATTTGGTTTATACATACTAGTACGGCGTGAAGTCGTGACCATTGGAGCCATCAATTCCTTGCAACAAAAAAGACTACTCTGCAATTGATAGATTTTCGATTCCATATTTTGATGAAGTATTTTTAAAAGAGCAAAAATATCGATGTTCTGATCATATCATGACAAAAAGTATTAATTTTAAAATTGTAAAGGATATACTTTAAGCCTTAGGGTTTCATTGTTTTGACGTGACTAATTATAGTGGCATGCATGTCAACCATGCATCTAACAAATATAAATAAAAGGAGAGAGAAATAAAGACTTAGCATCATAATGATTGTTAAGGTTGTAACGTCGGTCTTGGTATAGAGATTCATGTATGCTTTTGATACTATATTTGATTTATTTATTAAAGGAAATAAACTTTGGAGTGTTGAGAGATATGATCTTTGTAAAAAGCATACGATCCATGCATGCAGAAGGACATATGATTTAATCCACTACCTCCATGCAAGTTTCGGCAGATCCTTGCTTTGTTTGATCTCATTCCTCTTTCATTTCTTTACTTATTTTATAGATCTATCATCGATTTTGTTACTTTGAAGCTATTTATTATAAATGTATATATACATTGATATAAGCCACACACTCTTCTATTCTCATTGTCTGAAAGACTGAAACTATATAGAAATTTAATTAGAAAATTTTTTTGGAAAACTCTCTAATTTTTTTTGTTTTGAACATATAATTGATGTTGTAACCGTATCAAGAAATCATTTGAAAATCGAAAGTTTCTTCTTATATACCAATTACATGTTAGAAAGCAAATAAGAGCCTACCATATAATGCCATATGAGTACTACAATTTAGTTATAGTTCAATGTTTTCACACAATTAATCGGAATTAGTGATCGACTCTTATTTGATTGATAGTCATGCTATTCGTACGAATTAAAATAATTTTGATTTTAGCATAGATCATTCAAAGTTTTCTCAAGATAAGTATCTTTGAATATCGATACACTAAATTCGTCTTCAAGTAATTTTATTGTATACATTAGGAAATAATTTGTTTGAGTCTTTTTTGAAAGACTTATCAGTATCGTAAACTTGTAACGTGGGAGCTTAATTATTAATGTCTTATTTTGCAGACAATGATGTTGTGTTTTCCATATGGGATGCAATAATATCCCTCGCCATGCAATGCAAGTTACGTAATGTACGCAAATTAGTATCTATAGATTTTCTTCCTTTTTTTGGCTGAGAGAAACTTTGTTTTAGATAAAGATATACTTGTTCGTTTACAGTTAATAGATTTATCATTTTAAATAGAGAAAGGAATGATAGAGTGCACCATGCAACCAAAGTTATGTCTTCTTGAACCAAAAAAAAAATTATATATGTCTTCAATAAATTTTCTATAATTTCTATATAGCTATGATGATTTTGTTAAGAAATCGTAGATAAGAAATTAATTTGCATTACACACATTCTTAGTCTTGAAAAATTTATATGATGACTTTAAACCCTCAAGATCGGTAGAGAATGGTGATTTACCATTGAATAAATAACTTCAAATTGCTAAAGTATACAATTACAATGTCGTTTAAAATTGGTGAAACTATATCCATTTTATGCTCGATCTAGTTATACGATTTTTTCAATACTAGGACAGCCGGCATATCTAACATTTTTGTGTAAAATACGTACCAAAACTATTTTCCCTTATTTCTTGAAATCTTTATAATATATTCTAATTGTATTATAATGATGTAAATGAGAAAATTAAGCATTCACGTATAACATATATGCGCGCAAGGCTCAAGTGTTGTAGCCAAAGACATTAAAAAGGTAATTATTCTACTTATAGCTCGTGCACATGAATTAGAGATTCGTAAATCAATCTTTTTAAAAGAAAGTATGAGAAGCAATCATAGAAAGCCAATAGCTTTTCGAAGTTTGAAAAAAGTATATATCCCCTTTATTTCTTTTATCAAAATGGAAACGAGATCTACATAGGATGCCTCCAAAATCTTCCAATTTCTTATAAGTTTGAAAACAGATACATCACTCATGCATTTTCCTTGTTGAATAAGACCGTTTATGAAATATAATGTGGTCCTAAACCAATTTAAAAATCGAATCGCATTGTTCTCATTTGTCGTTTCTAGACATTTTATCTTAATTATTTATATCTCTAGCTCGGTCTTCTTACCTTTTCATAAACATACAATTTTCTGGTATTTATGTAACAACGAAACAAGAAAAACTTCGAGATGTTCTTCTCGATTTTTATTTATTATTTTTTCATTTGAATTTTTAAATATACATTCGCATCAATATTTTTGGTCAGCAAGATGCATTGACCTATTGGTTTTAACCTCACAACGACGACACTAAAATAAAAATCACCATGTTACATGGTAGTACTAGCTACTACTTCACATTTCAAAACTACACTTTTACCATAAAATAAATTTATCAAACAAATATGTAAAAACAAGGAAGTATATTTTATGAAACATTGACCCATTTACTCCTCTATTTGAAATAGTGTACATAATTAGAAATGCTAGATTCACCTCAGATTTCCTGTCCCCAAAGAAATGAAGAGAGACATGAATGAATGAATTTTTGATAAAAAGGAAACAAAAATAAAAAGAATAGGGCCAATTTAATTAATGAATGAATGGGATACACAACTTAGATTTTCTATTTTTTCCTTTTCACTTGGCTCCCAATTTCGCAAGCATTGTCCTTTTATTGCACTTGGTGACAATCTTAGTACTACAACAAAAAGATTTTGACCAGTCTTCTCATTCACATGAAAAAAAAAAAATCAAAGTATCCCCAAAACTTAAACACTCACATAGCAACACTCTACACCTATCCCCACCCCAAGACAATCCCTTTCTTCTCCCCTTTCTCCAACACCTACCAAAAGCCTCTCTCTCTCTCTCTCTACACTAATCTCTCTTTATCTCTCTCTCTCTCTCTCTAGTTCTTGATTTATTCCAAGATTTCAAGAAACACATGGCTGACCAAAGTGGTGGGCTGGTTATGATGAGAGAGTACAGAAAAGGGAATTGGACATTGAATGAGACGATGGTGCTCATTGAAGCCAAGAAGATGGATGATGAGAGGAGGATGCGGCGGTCCATCGGCCTTCCACCGCCGGAGATGCAGCAAGATAGCCGGAGCAGTAGTAATAAACCGGCGGAGCTACGGTGGAAATGGATAGAAGATTACTGTTGGAGAAAAGGTTGTATGAGGAGTCAGAATCAGTGCAATGACAAGTGGGACAATCTCATGAGAGATTACAAAAAGGTCAGAGAGTACGAGAGACGGAGGGTAGAATCGTCTTTTGCTTCTTCATCTTCTTCATCTTCAGCTGCAGAAACCGGTTCGTATTGGAGTATGGAGAAGAGCGAGAGGAAAGAGAGGAACTTGCCGAGTAATATGTTGCCTCAGACATACCAAGCGTTGTACGAAGTGGTGGAGAGTAAAACGCTCCCTTCCTCAACCGCTGCAACCGCTGTAACCGCTGCAGTCGCCGCTGCCGCTGCCGCCATTGGAAGTGGAAACGGTTCGAGCGGTGGACTAGAAATCCAAAAAGCGATACAACAACAACAACAACAAGGTTTAGGATCTGTTGTTCCGAAACATCAAATGACGATTCAGCCTCCTCCTGTTATATTACCTCTTCAGCCGCCACCGTCTCAACCGCCGCAGCCGCTACCACGACCGCTTCTTCTGCCACCGCCTCCACCGCCTTCTTTTCATGCTCAGCCAATACTGCCCACAGTAGGTACCTTCTTTCTCTCTCTTCTTAACTTCTTTGCATTTTCTTTAACAAAAATTAAATAACTTCTTGCATTTCTCTAAGTTTTACATTTTTTTATTTATTAGAAAGATTGAAAGCTTTAACTAATCTCAAAACCACATTGTAAAATTACCTTAATTAGTCCGATTAAACTTGAATAAACAATTAAGTTAATGGTTCTTTTGTCTTGACACAACTCTTAATTAATTAATTTTATAATTTTTTTCAGTGGAAAGGATTAATAAATAATTTTTTTGTATAGATAAACATTATCTTTAATTCTTGATATTAACAAGTATTGTGGTTCGGATAATGTATAATAAATTATTTGAAGAAGGATAGTAGCTCAGATTCTGATACGAGTGAGTATTCAGACACATCTCCGGCGAAGCGAAGGAGAACAATTCCGACCGAACCCGCAGGTCCAAGCGGCGGCGGTGGCGTAAACGCCGAATCGGAAGAAGCAGTGGCGGCTGCGTTATCAAGAAGTGCGTCTGTGATCGCAAACGCGATTAAGGATAGTGAGGAGAGACAAGATCGGAGACATAAGGAAGTGATGAGTTTACAAGAGAGGAGACTGAAGATCGAAGAATCGAATGTTGAGATAAACAAAGAAGGAATGAATGGATTAGTAGAAGCCATTAATAAGCTAGCGAGCTCCATTTTCGCTTTGGCTTCTTCTTCTACTACTACTACTTCTCGCCATAATAATCAGCATCAAGAAGGTCCACAATAACTTCAACTGTTATTATGTAGTTAATTTGATTAGGGAAGTGATTAATTCAAGTATTTCGTTTCAAGTACATAAATTGATATTGAAGTGTTAATCTTGTTTTCACTTTCAATGTGTTTAAACTTTAAAGTAAATGAATTTGTGATTCCATGCGATATTGATTGAAATGTCATAATTTATTATTTATCACAAGAATGCGATATGTTTTGAGATGAGTTTAGGTTTTGATTCTTGAAATATAGTTATGAATATTTGATGTTCCTATGTATTATTTCCTTTGTTTAGTTAGGTAAAAACCGTATCTTTTGTTACTTATTCAAGTTAAATTATATATTTTTGAAATATCTATTGAGTTTTCAAAACCAAACTACATTCTATCGTAAAAAAAGAGGTCATGCAAAGTATGCTAATGAATAACGTTAGTATATATTTTCTAGAAATCAATGTAGAGCGTAGATGATCCTAGATTTAAAGCGTTTAAGAATGGAGTTCAAAAATATGGAGCATTAACTTATAGGACGTATAATCGTATTGCCTACCACTCAATTAGCATTGGTTTAACCAAAAAGACGTCGATAGCTAATCATGGACCTAATCATGCAATTTAAGAAAAAAAAAAAAAGCTGGAAACTTTTGGAATGTGGAGCGTGAGTGAACGTGCATGAGAGAGGCGCGTGGAGGAGCATTTAAGTGAGAGAGAAAGTGGTCAAAGGGGGCAGAGAGAGCAGTCAAAGGAAGGGGAAGAGTGTGGAGGCCATTCTAGTGAGTATTATTGGTTCCCTCTCTCATCAGTCTCATTCTTCTCTCTCTCAATCTCTCTCTTCAATGCATCAAAGCTTAGTGACTTTTTTTTTTGATAACCAAGCTTAGTGACTTGTGACAAAACTCTTCTAATTCTTTAGCTTATCAAAAGTTTAAGAAGATGTAGTTAAAATACTTAAAATGGAAAGAAAACAATAATGCAATCTAGCAGTTTAAACTGTTGTTTTCCAGTTTTTAGTGGATTTTGCGTGTTAGTGTGGCAATTGGACACAAACTACACACTCTAGCCAAGCCATAGTTAAAAAGTCTTAGCTTGGTAGGTTTTGGTAGAGTAATTTTATGCCACGTTTTAATAAATCTAGAGAATGTACTTAAGAGCAACCTCAATGGGAGAAACCCAAGAGGGTCTCCACAGCAATATTAAATTAGTTTATAGGGAAAAAGTGAGTTTGGAAACCCATTCTAGAGATTTTGTGTTTGACCTGTGCAATGGAGAGACTGATATGAGTTTCTAAAAAAAAAATGAATTATTTACCAAATTAAAATAAATCATAATTATTTAAAAAACTTATTTGATTAAAACTTAACAAAACATACATATTAAATTAATAGAAACTAAACATATAAATTAACATAAAACATTTATAGAAACTAAACATACAAATGACCAAATTTCTGCCATATATGCTCCATTAAATCTTTTTGCAATTGTTCATGTACTTCATTAGAACGAACTCTCCTTCGAGTATCCAACATATTTTCAACATTTGTTGGCATAGTTGTCGAGTACGAGCGATCTATCGGTGAACTGCTAGTTCCCTCCCCTAGCTGAAATTCTTCTACTGCATTATAATGAGTGTGTGCATCTCGTTCGTCTTCAACAATCATATTATGGAGTATGATGCAAGCTCTCATAATTTTACCTATTTTATCTTTATCCCAGAAAAGAGCCGGATTCCTAACAATAGCAAATCGAGATTGCAATACACCAAAAGCACGCTCAACATCTTTTCGGGCAGCCTCTTGACGTTCTGCAAATGCAGATGCTTTTTTGCTTTGGGGAAGTGGAATTGATTGGATGAATGTCGCCCATTTTGGATAGATACCATCGGTGAGATAGTATGCTAGACCGTATTCCCGTCCATTGACAGAAAAATTCACTTGCGGTGCTTTTCCTTTTAAGATATCATCAAACACGGGTGAGCGATCTAGGACATTAATATCATTTAATGTACCTGGAGGTCCAAAAAATGCATGCCATATCCAAAGATCATATGAAGCTACCGCCTCTAAAACGATCATTGGTTTTCCTGATCCACGGGAGTATTGCCCTTTCCAAGCAGTTGGGCAGTTTTTCCACTCCCAATGCATACAGTCGATGCTACCTATCATCCCGGGAAATCCGCGTTAATCTGCAACATCAAGTAAGCGTTGAAGATCCGCCTGTGTTGGTCTCCGTAGGTAGTCATCCCCGAACAAATGGATAATTGCATCAACAAAATTTTCTAAACATGACCGAGCAGTTGTTTCACCGAGCCTGAGGTACTCGTCTACAGAATCAGCGGCACCACCGTAAGCCAAGATACGAATTGCTGCCGTACATTTTTGTAGAGCAGAGAGGCCAGGTCTTCCCAAAGCATCTTTCTTTTGTTGGAAGAAACGAATTTCAGCGGAAAGTTTTCCGACGATATGCAAGAACAGAGGCTTGTTCATCCGGAAACGACGTCTGAATAAATTTGCAGGATAGGTTGCTCTCTCGCTGAAATAATCGTTCCATAACCGAAGATGCCCTTCTTCACGATTTCTTTCCACGTACGCTCTTTTTTTCTTAGTTTTCTTTGGTTGCTCGTGGTCGTCATATTGTGTAAACGCACTTTCATACGCTTGCTCATAGTATTGCTCATACGCTTGCTCATAGTATTGCTCAAAATATTGCTCAAAATATTCAGGATTTGTACTATCAGGTTGGTTATTTGAAGGAGAAGCCATTTGTGTTTTATTTTTCTTTGGTGTGATTGTGAGAAAGAGGTAGAGAAGGAGATGTAAACAGCTTAGAACAATATAGAGAGTAAGAAAGAGAGAAAATGGTATATATAGACCACGATTACAACATACATGTACGATAAGTCTTTCCATTATTTTGGTGGAGTACAACATACATGTAAAAAAGTATTGGTAAACGACACAAGGGACTGACAAAAGATTCTACAAAGTAATGGTAAACGACACACCCTCATCTTCTTTATTGGTGGAATCCTACTCAGCCTGCGTCAGTTTTATGCTCCACCAAAACCTGTGACACAAATTGCCAAATTGCCAATCATAATCTCAATAACAAAGACAACACATTCAAAGTAAACATTGACAACACATTCAAAGTAAACATAAATCCATTTTAAAAACACACGCACAAAGTAATGCAAATACTTAATAAGTTCTACACGAAAGTAGTGCTACATCATCCCACATTTTGAAACTCCTAATACAAAATAGATATTGAACTGACATAACTCCTAAAACAACAAACATCACAAACTGTCTAGACAACAAACACCACAACCGTCTAGAATAGCTGTTGGATAAGGGTCTTCTTCAGGTCTTCCTCGTAATCAGCCAATGTGTCCTTTCTCGCAATAAGACTGTCTAGAAGAGCAATCTTCGAGAGCCTCTCTTTGAGGGCCATCTCCTTTTCCCTAAAAACCCACATACCCCCAAACTCAACCGCAGTCTTTGCTTCACTCGGTGGCCTCTTTCCTTTTGCTTTCGCCGCCTTCACACCAGGTGGCCTCTTGCTACCTTGACCATGCTCACCATCACTTGTTTCCTCGACCTCAGGACTTGGTGATACGTGAACGTCTTCAGACCTTCTTTTTTTTGAGGTATGATCCGTTTTCAAGGTCGACAGTTCAGCCCACTTTTGGTCATTGCGTAACTCTTTCCATGCGTGTTCCAGGTTGAATTTCTTCTTCTGATCACTGAAGTAGATCTGGTGAGCCATCTTTAAGACGTCGTTTTCATTCATTCCACTGCTCTTTTCCCTCATTGCTGCCTCAAACGCCCCACAGAACTTGCACACAAGATCATTGATCTTGTGCCACCTTTGCTTGCATTGGCCGGCTTCGCGTGGTGCACTCATCGAACGATTCATATTGTCTGCGTAGTAAATAGCTATTCTCTTCCAAAATGTTCCCGACTTCTGCTCGTTACTGACGACAGGGTCTTTGCTTGTATTAAGCCAAGCGCTTATAAGAAGCACATCCTCATTCGGCGCCCAAGTCCTCCTATCCACTCGGTGACCAGTTGTATCACCCACGTTAGTTGCTAACGAACACTGAGTGCTGAATAAGGGTTCTTGATCGATAGAGTGAAAACCATCATTGAGTGATGGTTCGTGTTGACTTGTCAACAAGTCAACAAAGTTAGAGGGCTGGGAGAAATGCTCCATATGAAAAGAGGAGAGAACAATAAAAGAGCTCAAAGAAAGAGATGAAAGGAATGAAATGAATGAGAAGAATAGTTCAGCTGAATAAAAAGAGATGATGTATTCGGTTTTAAAGAGGGTTTAGAAGAGAGATGATGTATTCAGTTTGAAGAGTAATGAGAAAGTTGGTTAAACGGAGTAATGACGAATTTAAGAAGCTACGATTACTTTAACAGCTACACACGTCAACTCTAATCCTCAAACATGACCAACTTAAAGCGACAAGACATAAACCTAAACCGTGCATTTATTCACACCTAACATCTCCTTTTCACTTAACAGCAGTAATTACAACGAGAAGAAGATTTTTGTAAACTTACGGTTTTATTATGATGAAGGAGGATTCCATCTTGTTGCAGCACCCACTCGTTAAGTTTGATTGTGTAATCTTCCGGTTTATGTTTGACCATACGCTGCATTTAAACACAAGTTTCATGTTAGAGATGATAAAACTGAAGAAAAAAATAAGTAAACTTAAACTTTCAAAGGAATAGTTACAAACGATGCCGGTTGTTAAGTTCGAAAGAGATGAAACAAACAATGACAAAAACGAGGAAACACTAACAAGCGAAAACGATGAAACATACGATGACAAGTTCTAAACGATGAAACAAAATCATGACATTCAAGGTCAAACTCACGAGTGTTAAGTTCATAGAGATGAACCACAATCACCATGACTAAGAACGATGACATAGAATAGCATAAGCAAAGTCAGCATGACTAAGAACGATGACATAGAACGATGACATAGAATATCATAATCAAAAGAGATGAACGATGACATAGAATAGCTATTCAGATCAAATTATCCCCAAATATGCGGAAAGAACCCATAAATATCATCACATACGAAAAGCCCCAATTCCCAAAATTAGGGTTTTCTCGCAAATCACGATTTTTTCAATTTCAACTTCAAATACAGACAACTTCAATCACGATGACATAGAATAGCTATTCAGATCAAATTATCCCCAAATATGCGGAAAGAACCCATAAATATCATCACATTCGGAAAGCCCCAATTCCCAAAATTAGGGTTTTCTCGCAAATCACGATTTTTCAATTTCAACTTCAAATACAGACAAATTTAACCCGATCGATCGACACTCAAACTTCGATTACGCTATACACACATCGCGATAACCCCAGATGACCAAACAAAATTTTCATCGATAAAGAGAGGCGATTAGGGTTTATAAAACTTATCTCTTTCACCTTCCCTTTCGCTGACAAGTTTCGAACCGACTGAGAACCGTCTGAGAACCGCGAGCCGCCGGAGAACTGCCGGAGACCAATCGATGTCGACTCGAGTTCGTCGCAGATATGAGAGAAAAATGTGTTATCGAGGAAATGAAAACAGTCGAGTATCGAGGAAATGATTTCCCCTTGCAAAAAAAAACATTTTCTCTCTAGCTTTGAAAACAAATTAACACATGACACGTGTAAGGAGAAACGCGTAAAAACGTCGCCAATTAGAAAACATATACGATAAATAAGAAACGACGATGTATTATTAAATTATTAGGTTTCTGCTAAAAACGCTCTAAATACAGCGTTAATCATGCTCTAAGAAAAGTGGAAACGAGTAGGTCTAACCAGAGCTAGATCTGGGGATAGCCTGATGAAACATCTGCCTATATTTCCAAAATTTTTCTTTGGTTATTTACGAATTTTTCAGCTCCCAAATCACAAAAAAAACATTTGTTCTTAAATTGTTTTTAGCCCCAAATTCTTAGATCCGGCCCTGGATCTAAGTTGGAGTTAAATAACCATGCTTCATATAGATATAGAGTCAATGCAGATCCTATAAACATACGTAAGGTCCATCTTATGAACACGATAGTTCAATATTTTATTTGTTAGTGAAGAAAGGGAAATAAAAGGAACCCATGAGGGGTCACAACAATAAATCACAATGGGCCAATTTTGGGAAAGCAATAAAATATAAATTTGTTATTAGCAAAAAATAGTGATGAATGTAATGTATATAGTGTTGTACTCTATGGCCAAAAGTGCTCCTCTTTTTCTTCCCCCACACCCTCCAGATGCAGCTTTTCTTCAGAGAAAGTGAGCTGTGAAGAGAAATAATGATAATATTAATAAATAAATAAATAGAACACATTTTAGATAGAGACCGGTGCGATACGATAATACACCAAATTGTACCTGAAATCAAATCTCAAAAAATATAGTTATGTGATCTAAAATGGATTATTGAGACTGATATACAGAAAAAGACAAAGATGTATGTAGTTACGACGATTAAGTCTAGACATTCAGTCGTAATTTCTAAATAAGTGACTTAAATTTACAAATTTAACATAAATGTGTCTCGTTTGTCCTCTGATTAATTAGTACGTATAATTAAAATTAGAAACGCTATTCTTTTTGACAAAAAGAAGAAGAAGAAACACAAACACTAATCCTTTTTTTGTTTTGTTTTAAATCAACATCAGACAACAAAGTATTAAAAAAACACAGACAATAAAATATATCTCATTAAACACACACAATCAGCCACATAGCTTTGTTTTTATGCGTACAGTGTCCTAATTTTTTTGTTTTTGAAGAGAACTCAATGATGTCGACATTCGAATACGCACATCTTTTGACATTGCAGAGTATTCATATTATGCAATTGCATTATTTTCTCTCCATGGTTGGTTCTACGATGGGCCTATAAGCTAATAACGACAGCTACTCATATAATGGGCCTCAGGAGCCGGGTTTATTATATACATATACTCCAGCAATGAGCATACATATTCATCATTTTGTATATATAACATATTTAGTATTTACCACATAATTAAACATATTTACGTTTATGTATTGTATTGTATTCCTACTCAGAAAATTGAACAAAACATAGCAAGGAACAAAAACATTAAACGGTTTCCAAAGGGTTTAATCTAGTTTTCATTTCACTCTTCGTAACCAGAAACCAAAATTGTTCATCATTTTCGTAGGTGCTGTATCGATTTTGGGAATAAATGACTGATGTTCTAGACATTAAACCTCGGAGCCAAAACTATAATTAGAATGAAAACAGAGTTACATTGTATAATGAAAAACGTAAAGAGAATTGAATTTTGATCATTTACAGAGACGTCAGAGGATCGTATCATATTTTGTTTTTGTTTTTGTTTCTTCTCGTTTCTCCATCAGACAAAAACTACTTACACTAGAGAGAACAGACATATATGTCAGAGGGAAAAAGAAGAAGATTGGTGATCTGATGAAACATTGTGAGGAAGACTCACCAATCTCAGCATTCACATCTCTTTGCTAATGTTTTCTTTACCCCTCTCACAATCTTACCGAACCATACCAAGTTCATGACACCGAGCGCAGCTGGTACGCCAAATACCAGAACGTATCCGAAAATGTGCATCCTCATGACCTACCACACACAAAAAAAAAAAAACACTGAGAAATTTGACAGTATTGTTGTGATGCATCAAGTTCAATGGGGGTAAGGTTTAGATGCAATCGAGTTTCAACACAAACGATAAAACCGCCAGATAGTGAAGAGAATGCTGGGAAGGGGATTATGAGTTTTACCTGGTTGTAGTGGAGATAGACATGATAAAACATGTATATGAAGAGTAGAATTCTAGCAACCTGAAATGAAAGTGTTTCAAGTGGATAAGCAAGGACACATAAATGTTGAGCATCAAAAATGAGTCGAATGTTGATTATTATGTACCAGCCAAGCCACAAAGATGAAGACGCCATTAACAACGTATGCCATTGAATTCTTCATACCAGCTGTGTCCAGGTACCTTCATAAGACACCCGAGAGATAATTCTCTTTTCTTTTCAGAAGAATCTAAGGTGATAAATCTTGTTATTGCATATGAAGAAAAGGGAAGTACCATCTCAAATTGATCTCTGGAGTTGTAATCTCAGAGATGAGGACCATGTAGGTATATAACTGTCCTTCTCCAGAAAACAAAGAGTAGGCCACTGCTACCCCCGATAGCGAGTGATGCACAATCTGAAATCAAACGCAAATTCTCTATCTTAGTTTTAGCATTTGCTATCTTTATGCATTGATACCGTTGAGCGATGCCGAGGTTCACAAGCAGATAAACAGAAAGTGCTACATCAACAAGCTGAATATTTTGGAGGAATTCGCATATCTATGGAGAGAAAGCACTAGATAGAGCAAAGTGATTGGTCAAGAACAGTTTACTTACATACTCAAGTCCACCCAAAGAAGGATATTTCCAGAAGATCATCCCAAGATCAGCAATAAAGTAACCAATGGATAACTGCAAAATCATATATACATGTATCATGTTGAAAATTCTTCTCTCTCAAATGATTTTACATTAGCTTTCGGTTACGGTGAGATTAGTACTTACCCCTAAACCAAGACAGGAAAGTCGTGAGCTCCGGAAAACAACAAGATCGTTGTGCCACCTATCCGAAAAAAGGTCGGACCAGAAGACAAAGTACAGCGACATCGCCGAGATAAAAATAGCATGAACTGTTGAGATACCACTGCCAAAATACGTTTAAACAATTTTTCAAAAACCCACAAATCCAAAGATCCTAAATGGTTATACACTACACTTGAAAGACTTAACAATCATCAAAACAAACCGGTTATTCCATTCGATTCTCTGAATTTTCGTGAGAATGATATAAGTCTTAGAATGTGAGTTGCTGATAAAGTGACAAAGATCATAGACCTGCCAAAAAGAAAAGGAACAAACATACGATCATTCATCAACCGAAAGGATCTAGCTTGTCCCAAGATCTATAGAATCACGAAAGTTACAAGAAACCAGTCTTACCACTTTGCAAAGGAAAATGCCAGTGAGGACAGACGTGTAAGGAATAAATGGATCAGCTAAAAGATAGTTCTTAACCAAATGCTGAGCTTGATGATGATAAGACTTAATGGCACCAATCGTTTGCAAAGAGGTCGACATTGCAGATAATACAGATTTTGGGGCTCTTTCCACAACTTTATCTATCGATTCTCATCTCATCATCTACCACCTACACCAAGAAAATGAAGAACCATATCTTGAATCAATAGGAAACTTGAGAATACTCTTACTTTATATAAGGAATGTCACATATTTATGTAAATTGATTCAAAATGTGCTTCTTATCATTCAACAATATCAGTTATGATAATCAGAGATATGATAAACAAAAACGCCTCATAGTTATTCGCAATCTAACGACACGTATGAGCCCTAATCTCAGATTTTTGAATATAGCAAATGCAGATTCGATAGGCAAGACCTAGATAAGGAAGATCCGAAACAAAGAGTAAGAAATTACCGAAACTCAGATTCAATCGAAGTCAAATCCGATTCAATTGAATCGCAAAAAACGCAGCGAAAGAAGAAGATTTTGGAGAAGGGTACCTTTTTCTGGGGAAAATCTGAATAAAAATCCCGGAGAAATGCACGCAAAGGAAGGGGAAAATTTTTAGAATCGGCGAGAAAACTGTGAGAGTGAGAAAAAGGAAGCAGCGAAAGGGTAAATCGGAAGTAGCATCAATGAAGCTTTAGCTTTAATCAATGTGAATGTGATGGAGAAGAGAGAACACAAAACACTCGATCTCTGGGAAATTTTTTTATTAAAACAAAAAAACTACAGCTGGTGCACGAAAAAAGAAGAAAGAAAAAAACAAACAACAATAAAGAAAAAAAAGAATATTGTTAAATTATAAGGCCATAATTAGGCATTAAATTCATAGGTTTCTATCTTTCTATATAGTATGTGCCAAACTTTTATGTTAATAGGTGGTGGAAAAAAAAAACGAATATACGTTTTCTTTTGTCAAGAAATGAATATACGTTTAATGTATTGTATTTGTATATGGAAAAAAACATGCACCAGACACTAACGCCAAGTAGATGATTAATCAGAGTAAAATAAGAATAAGATTTTATTGTTGTTCGATTCGTGTGAATCACTCCGACTATTCACTTCTCTCAAAACATTTTTTATGTTATAAACAAATGGACTTTTAGTAACCGGCCTATTAACTATCAAGTTAATGTCTCATAGCCCATTAGGGTTTCTGATACATTAGTTATGTAATGTATATATACATTACTTATGGAAATAATAAAATTAGAGTTTTTTCCTTTATACGTTATCAGCACAAAACTCAACTTCAAACGATCATATCTCTCAAAATACAAGGAGTTAGAAGGCGATCTACATATCATTTTGAAGCACTGGAAGAGAAGAATCTAGTGGTGAAAACCGCTCCTCAATCCGACACCAGACGCGCCCTCAAGACTCAAAACAATCGGCGCTGTCCCACCTTAGCGGGTGATTCTTTCCAAGCAGTGGTTCCTCCATTGTAGCAGCTGTTCGTCCTCCCTTCTGGCCATCATTCTCAGGAGTTTCCAGTAGATATCTGTGGTCTTTAGCTCCCAGATCATAAGCCGATCAGAAATCCATTTGGCGAAAAGATATGCAAGACAATATGGATATCATTGTGATAGTGGATCGAGCCACACCATTCTAAAAGACAAGAATTACTTCATAAATTTAGTAATCAAAACCGCAAACATTAGCACTATAGCGGGTAGTTCGAGCCTAATAGAGGGCCATGGCCAAGCTAATGTGTTGTTATCAAATGGCACATATCTAGACATCTCTGATGCCTTATACTCACCCAGTTCTAAGAGAAACCTATTGAGTTTCAAAGACATAAGATTGAATGGTTTCCATATCGAAACTCAGGATGAAGGGAACAAAGAGTTTTTAATTATCACTAAAATGATAAATGGCCATAAACAAGTTTTTGAAACTATACCCGCCGTATCTACTGGCATTTACCATGCTAAAGTCAGTATGATTGAGGCTAATGCTGCTATCAAAGCACGGTTTTTAGATTACACTATTTGGCATGATCGCCTGGGTCATCCCGGTGCGAACATGATGCGTAAATTAGTCCAGAATTCTAAAGGGCACAACCTTAAACCAAATGGTATTTTCCCTCAGCACCTCAAGTGCACAGCTTGCTCACAAGGGAAACTGATTACCCGACCTTCACCAGTCAAAGTGTCTAAAGAGACCTTGAACTTTCTGGAAAAAATCCAAGGAGACATATGTGGACCAATTCACCCACTTTGTGGGACATTCAGATATTTCATGGTCCTCATTGACGCATCGACCCGCTGGTCGCATGTCTGTCTGCTCTCTTCTAGGAACCAAGCTTTTGCTAGGTTATTGGCCCAAATCATCAGATTACGAGCCCATTTTCCAGACTTCCCATTAAAGACTATACGTCTTGATAATGCTGGTGAATTCACTTCCCAAGCGTTTAATGAATATTGTATGTCCATGGGGGTAAGTGTTGAACATCCCGTTCCACATGTCCATACACAAAATGGATTAGCTGAATCCTTCATTAAACGAATTCAATGGGTTGCTAGACCATTACTCATGAGGTCACAACTCCCGGTCTCAGCTTGGGGACACGCAGTCTTACATGCCGCTGAACTAATACGCATACGACCATCTAGTGAGCACAAATATTCACCATCCCAATTGCTAACGGGTCATGAGCCAGACGTCTCCCATATTAAAACATTTGGGTGTTCAGTCTATGTACCCATTGCACCACCACAGATGACTAAAATGGGACCTCAAAGGAGGATGGGAATATATGTTGGTTTTGATTCTCCCACCATCATAAAATATCTCGAGCCAACTACATGAGATCTGTTTAAAGCCAGATATGCAGATTGCCGATTTGATGAATCGGTATATCCTAGATTAGGTGGTGAGACAGACAAGCTGGTAAAAGAACTTTCATGGAATCAAACATCCACACAATGGCAAGATCCTCGGACTCTAGAATGTGATTCAGAGGTCCAAAGAATTATACATTTACAAAAGCTAGCTAATCAATTGCCAGATTCCTTTGCTGACCCGAACAAAGTTACCAAATCGTACATACCAGCTTGTAATGCACCAGTACGAATAGATGTCCCCTCAGGGAAAAGTCAAGTTGCTACAGAGTCTGACGCACGTAAGAAACGTGGCAGACCACCAGGTTCCAAAGATAAGAATCCCCGGAAATCAAAGAAAGGTGCAATGATTGAAACCGGGATTCAAGAGAACACGGATACAGCCTCAGCTGATACTTACCCTATCGAACCATCTCAAGAGGTTTGGGACACCAAAACTCAAGGTTCTGAAGGGATTGATAATAATGAGATCTCAATCAATTATATCATATTCGGTTCTCTATGGAACAGAAAAGATGTCGACATCAATGAAACTTTTGCATACAAGGTAGCACTTGAGATTGCGCACACGCAAGAGGATCTAGAACCCACGTCTATAATTGAGTGCACTCGTAGATCAGATTGGCTGAAATGGAAAGAAGCCATAAACGTGGAGTTGAATAGTTTAAAGAAACGAAATGTGTTTGGTCCGATCTTAAGGACACCATTCGATGTTAAACCAGTGGGAAACAAATGGGTCTTTGTGCGTAAAAGAAACGAACTCGGCGAAGTCGTTAGATACAAGGCACGCCTTGTAGCACAAGGATTCTCACAGAGACCCGGAATCGATTATGAGGAGACTTATTCTCCAGTGGTGGATGCAACTACATTTCGATTCTTCATAAGTCTGGCCATAAGAGAAAACTTAGATTTGCGGTTAATGGATGTTGTAACCGCATATCTTTATGGACCACTGGACAGTGAAATCTATATGAGATTACCAGATGGTATTGAGCTCAAAGATAAGCATGCATCTCGTGATAAACACTGCATTAGGCTAAACAAATCCTTATATGGACTGAAACAAAGCGGACGTATGTGGTATAACCGGTTAAGCGAATATCTCATCAGAGAAGGCTACGAAAACGATCCGATCAGTCCATGCATCTTCATCAGAAAATATCAAAACAAAGGATTTGTAATCATAGCAGTATACGTGGATGACTTGAACATCCTCGGAACATCTGGTGAAATCGCCCAAACAGTTGAATGCTTAAAAGCAGAGTTTGAAATGAAAGACCTAGGCAAAACTAAATTCTGTTTGGGATTACAACTTGAGTATGTCAATGACGGAATCCTTGTGCATCAATTGGCATACACTGAAAAGGTACTCAAGAGATTCAATATGGACCAGGTCCACCCATTGACCAGCCCAATGGTTGTGAGGAGCCTTGGATTGGATAGTGATCCATTCGGTCCAAAGAAGGACGATGAAGAAATCCTCGGTCCTGAAATGCCATACCTCAGTGCCATAGGAGCATTAATGTACTTGGCTAGTCACACTAGACCAGACATCTGCTTTGCCGTGAGCCTCTTAGCTCGCTTTAGTTCGTGTCCAACTCAAAGGCACTGGAACGGTATTAAGCACATCCTTAGATACCTTCAAGGTACTAAGGACTTGGGATTATTTTATTCTAATCATAACAAGGATGGTCTAGTTGGTTTTGCTGATGCAGGATATTTGTCAGATCCGCACTGTGCCCGGTCTCAAACCGGTTATGTTTTCACGCATGGAGGAACAGCCATATCTTGGAGATCCATGAAGCAGACTATTGCCGCTACCTCATCCAACCATGCGGAAATCTTGGCCATTCACGAAGCTAGTAGAGAGTGTGTTTGGTTGCGGTCCATGACTCAGCATATCCGATCAGATTGTGGTATGGACGAAGATAAGGAGTCTACGGTGATGTATGAAGACAATGCAGCTTGTATCGCTCAACTCAAGGACGGCTACATCAAAGGTGACCCAACGAAGCATATTCTGCCCAAATTCTTCTTCACTCATGAGCTACAGAAGGATGGTCAGGTCAAGGTTCAGCAAGTCCGATCAAGCGAAAATTCAGCCGATCTATTCACTAAATCATTAACGACTTCTACACTCCGGAAGCTCATTCATCAGATAGGAATGCGTAGACTTAGAGATCTACAGTGATACCTAAACCAGGGGGAGTAATGCATGTTGTACTCTTTTTCCTTCACCATGGTTTTTCCCACTGGGTTTTCCTGGTAAGGTTTTAATGAGGCAACGTTCCCCAGCGCATTATAGAGATCCCGGTTTTGTGACAGGCACGGTTACCTTGTCCAAGGGAGAGTGTTATAAACAAATGGACTTCTAGTAACCGGCACATTACTCATAGCCCATTAGGGTTTCTGATACATTAGTTATGTAATGTATATATACACTGCTTATGAAAATAATAAGATTAGAGTTTTTTCCTTAATATTTTGTACATTTTGGCGTTTTTTTTTGCTTTCGCTATGTGACATTTTTTTTATAATCCACCAAAAGAAAAACATATGACGAATCTATCATTACATAGAATTCTAAATGAAAAGATACATGTTACAAAAATAAAAATAATGATCGGAAAGCCCATAACTGAACATATCGAAGGCAACAAGAGCTCAATTATGTTTCTTTTGTATGCATCTGTCTCTCATAAACTTATCCCCAACTTTTGTGATCAGATGCATCATCATTGCCACAAATATTTAAATAGATATTGTTTCTCCATGAAAAGATAATTTAGAAAATGCAGAAGGCCCATCATCACTGAAGGAATTCAGACACAAACAAAACATATGAAAGAGTCAAGGTAAGAAAAGAATCTACCTCATGCTCATTCTTTCATCTCTGAGATCTCAAAAGCTTCAACAAAAAAATTGCAAAAACGATAGCAAAATATGAACTACTTACTGAATCCAGAGTCTTAATTATAACTAAACACCATAACCTGAGTCTCTGCTCTAAAGAGCAATACAATACCAAACCAAAATACCATAACACGAGTCTCTGCTCTAAAGAGCAATACAATACCAAACACAAACCACCAAATACAAAGAAAGAGAAAGAAACACACACTGCAAAAGAAACCCAATTAGATTCACGCACAAACTCCTTCCTACCAGGCAAAGGAGTAAAACTGCGTTATTGGGGCATTCCGATTTTCAATATTAGTATCGTAAGTTCAGCTTTAGGAACCCAAAAACACCAAAATAACCCAAACCTTCTTTCTTTCTCAGACGAAGAACATAACGTTCTCAAGCTCTTTGTGCAACTTGAAGACGGCTTTGTCCTCCATTGTCAGAGACGAAAGCGAGGAAGCAAGCGAACCAGCAGAGGAAGAAGCTCCCCGTGGCTGCCTAAAGCTCTTCTCCCGTGAGCTCGCTTCGTAGTATATTCTTCCCCTAAAGGCAACCATGTCAGCATAATAGACCGGAGGAACAAGAGAGACAGGCTTGGTGCAACGAGTGAAAGTGAAACACATCTCAAATATGAGCTTCTGAATCTGATCGGAAGTGAACCCGAGCTCGTCCCAAAGCGTGTAGTAATGAGTCGGCTTGCTTGTACCGATCCCTCCGTGGTGACTGCAGAGGTAGAAATCATACTCAAACGGATGTATGACTTTTGTATCCACGACCGTACCCGAAGGCACATTGCCCTTATCGCTTCCATCGTTGCTTGTGGCAGGGAAGAAACGTGTTTGATGGCGTTTCTGAGCCACGATCACAGTTATCTTCGGATTGTACCCGTTCTTTTCAAAAGTGAGCTTCACATCAAGCAACTCCACATTGAGAACCATATCGAACTGACCATCGCTGACACCGTCGCGGAATATCACAATCTTGTTAGGGCGTTTTCCGGTGGCCTGATAATGAGCTTTGACAAGCTCCAAGCATGTATCACCAAACCCTTGTATCTCCTCTTTACGGTGAGGCTGCGCGATGACTCTAGCTGCGTAACGGTTAGCTTGGGGCCAGTTTAGAGTACCAACAACAGCAACAATGGACGGGCTCATCTTGTTGTGAGCAGCAGGGTGATTTACATCAGCGCCAATGAACATGACTTGATCTTCTTTGCTGAAGAAAGAGAAAGTATCCATCAGCTCGACGTTGCTTCCACCAACCTTTGCGTTGATCTTGAGGGCGAGATTCGCACGGTACTGATCACCTCCTCTATTGGCGGAGTTTGTCAAGAAACACTGAGTCACCAGACCAAGTTTGGTCTCAGCTATCCATTTCAGAGTCTTGTAGCCGTCGTGTGTTCGAGACATAGGACACAGAACAAAAGTTGGGCGAGCCCCACTATGCTTACGATTAGCCTCGTCAATCACTTGTCGAAGCAGTTCCTCAAGAGCTTTAGCGTTACCAAGCGTGTCCATTCTTGATGACTTGTAAATGATGGGAGGCTCCAGTTGCATCCCAAGTGTCCAACACCGTTTCATCAGTTGATCCACAAAGTCATTAGGCATCCTGTTGAAATTCTCAGACGCAGTGAAGTCAATAACAGCCCAGTGCTTGACAATTGAACCCCTAGCGACTCCCTTCCTCATAAGGTTCCACTGGTTGTTCTGTCTCGGGTTCGGTTCCTCCCGGACTGCTCTGCCTTTCTCTGTCAACTTTAACGCCGGAGCCTTGAGAACACGACCTTCGACCGGTGTCATCTTTGTATCAACTTTCATTCCAAAGTTCCCAGTGATTTCTCCACTGTCATTGACACACATACAAAAAGGTTAAAACTCATACACACAAGCTATACACGTCTATTAACAGTCAAAAGCTTTTGAAGAAAGGAAAGAATAAGAAAATCTTTGTGAACATACCCGCTGGGTCCATCATCAGACCGTATCATCTTAAGTATATTCGTCTGCCTTTGTTGTGGATTGACTAGGGAAAGCTTTTTCAACCACAAGGCTGAATCTTTATCCAAGCCTTCCTTTGGATAAATCTGTCCTTCAACCAAAACGCAGAACTCCATGGGCACGAGATTCTGCCGTCCGTTTTTTCCCAGATCCAAGCAAGGAATATCCTTGTGAACAATGTCTCTCCCGTACTTTATCCTGAAATACTCAACAATGGATATCTTCCTCGGCGGATCATTGCCCTCTTGATCTATAAGATCGAATGTTTCATTTTTTGTATCTTTCTTACTCAGTCCTACAATCTTCAACTTCTGCTTGTTCTTTCGATGCGTGACAGTGACTTGCAACCCATTCAACTCATTCTCCACATCATGTCTACAATCCCAAAACCGACTGAAATCAGACCAGCCAAAGTACAGCTTCAGATAGTCAATGACCGACATTGCCTTCCGGAAAGCCAACACGGAGTAGTCCAAGCACAACGACAAGCCTTGTGCCGTGGGCTTTAGAGTGTGTCGGTAACCTTTTGCAACTGCAACACCAAAGCCAAAGTCCTCGTCCCGCTCAGTTCCACGAGTGAAAAAGCTTTTACCAACTGTTATCATACACTTTGAAGGATGCTCCTTCATCACAACGTCCATTCCTTGCAACACATCACGGGGATTTAAAGACGAGCCCCCTGACATATACTCTTTCAAGTCACGGAACTTAAGCTCATTCACCTGCTTGATGGTGAACGTGTAGCTTCGAGCTCTCGTCTCATCGGTTTTCGGAAAATCCACCTTGAATGACCCTGTAGGCAACTTAGCCGCGCTGAAAATGTTCTTCTGACCATCGTATGCAGTCATGGCGAACGGGAACTCTCCGGGGTTGTCGGTGAACACCTTGTCCCTAACCATAGCTAGCTCGAATCTTGATACCTTCTTGGTAGGATTCTCTCCTTTGATTTCAACGTCGTAGTGTCCTATGACACTCTCAGGATCGAAATTCACTCTGAAGTGGTTGACAAAGAGGTTTACACGCCGGACAGCCACAACACCGCCTTTATCTGGACGCTTCATCGGCTCTTTCTTAGAAGAGGAAGCAACTTGCATAGATGTACTCGGTTTCTTAACTTCAGAACCTGTCAGGTTAATTATACATAACGATTCATCAACGGAAACAAAGACTATTTGGCTAAATCAAATGCATTTTGTTTAAATGATTCAAAATAAGTTCCAATGTAAATAAACCACATCAATTCCAATCATTGATTTCTTCGGAGTAATGAAAATTAAAACGATGCATCTGTGAATTTTTCCCCTAATTACAATTCCCCAGAAGAAAATTTGCAGACATGCAAGCAATAATCATAATGAAAACTTGAGATATGTAAAAAAATAAAATTAGGTTACAGTGCATACCACGAGCGGGTTCAGAAACCACGACGGTGGACGGAGGAGGAGGTAACACCGCCGTGTTCGACGAAACCTGCGGCCTACGACCCCACGCGCCTCCAGCTGCAACGGCGGGGCTCAGTTGAGCCTGCGGTGGTCGTTGAACCGTCGATTGTTGAACCGCCGTGTCAGAAGAAACTTGTGGCCTACGACCCCATACGCTTCCTGCTGCAACGGCGGGACTCACTTGAGGTTGCGGCGGCTGTTGAACCGCCGGTGGTCGAGGTTGCTGCGATTGTGTTCCACGGCCACCCGACGGTGGTCCCCACTGACTCTGGCTTCGGAAATCCTGTTGATCCCGGTCATAATCACCACCACGACCACCGGAACCCAGCCCACGATTTCCGCCACCGCCGCCTCGGTCGGAGCCACGACCACGACCGCCATAGCCACGACCACGGTCTCCTCCTCCTCCGCCGCCGTAACCGCGACCTCCACCACCGCCGTCACCACGGCCTCCGCCGCCTCTGCCACGGCCATCACCACGACCTCCTCGGTAACCACCTCTCTCCATTTTTGGGATTTGATTGGATCTGATCGGGAAGATTATTCACTCGTACGACTGATACAACGAGATTGCTTAAAACTGTGAACTAACGAAATCGGAGCTTTTTAAAGGAAGAATATATATTGTTTTAAAAAAGAGGAAGAATATAAAGCGTGAGAAGCTTAGCTCGTAAGGATCACTATAAGACTTTTGTAACGTTCGCGAATGTTCCTCGAAAGACCTAAAGAGTAGGAAATGTTCAAGAGTGGGGTAGTACAACCGTCTTTTAACTTCGTGTTTTAAAAAAAATACAGTAATTATACCACGTCGAAACAAAAGAAAAGAAAAAGAAGATAAAAACAGTAATTAATTATTGGGTTCTCTTTGAGCCAATTTGGCTAAGACCACCTCCAACCATAGTCTTTAATAAGGGGTTTTAATTTTGATTTTAGTACTAGTTTTTTATTCACTTTAATACACTATAACCTTTTAATAATTTTTTTATTGGTTTAGTGTCCAATAGTAGTCTTTTAATGGAGTCTCTAATAATTTTTTTTTTTTGTAATTTTTCAAATACAAACATTTTATTAATACAAATTTAAACATAGAATAGAGAAAAACAAAACAAAAGAAAGATGCAAATTATAAACCGGAAATAATAAGATTAGTTGTAATCTTGAGTTATACCAAACATATTCCATAAATGCTCAACTAAATCTTTTTTTAATTGATCATGCTCAATCAAAACCCATGTATTCAAACATTTTCTTATAGATAAAGGGTTTCAATAGAAAAACAAAAAAAAAATTAAAAAACATCAAACCAATCATAACGTGACATGTCAGAGGCTCTAATGAGTCTCTACAAACTACTAAATTAAAAACGGTTCTGCTTAAAAACACCATTACAATTTTTTCTTTTTAATTAAAAC